CACGGCGTTCCACAAGGGGGAACGCCCCGACCGACTTATCCTTATAACTTTTCTTTACCCTCTGTTGATCCGTTCGATTTGGCATTCTTTTGTCTTACTCGCCTACCTGAGCGCCACCGCCGCCGGCCCTGGTCCTGGCGGTACAATTCCTTGTTGGGAATTTGGAGACGTCTGGAAGATTTCATACTTTTGAAAATGATGATGGTATTCCTGAAAATGTAACTGCAAGGGTAAACGTAACAAAAAAGGTCTCACATCAAGTGTCAAACACGCTTCTCTTACCTCTGAACAGTGCTTCATTACCAACATTTAAATAGTGGGCCAATCGTGTTGCTCAAACCTCAACAATACTATTTCAGCTGTTTCATCTACACAGATCGTGAAAAATCTCTGTATGATATATATATTTTCGGTAACGATGATGACGATGAGGAATTCAGGTCTGTTTTGAATCGAACGGAGGTAGTCGGGTGGAGCACCCTCGAAGCGCCGCATTATGTCGGCGGAAAGTAGTTGGGGCACAGCTGGGGAGGCGGGTGAGACCCCGGGTGAGGCGGAAACCTCGTGGGCTGGAAAATAACCCCTCCGCGTTCAGCTCAGCAGTGACATGATGATGTTGAAACTTGTTCAGCGCGCGCGGCACGTCGCGCCCTGCAAAGCGGAGTGCCCCCCCTCCTCCTCCCTCCAGGCGAAACAGTAATAAATTATCAAACTAACAATGTGTGTCGGCATATTATGATGGAGTCCTGATTCCGCCCCCCTCCCTATCCCCGTTCTCTCTACTCCCCCCCTCCTCTCTCTCTTTAGTCCCATGTATGTCATGTCCTTAAATTAAATAAATTTCAATTTCAATTTCTCTCTACATACACACACTCACCACCTCACTTCTCACGCCTCTGCCTTTTCCACTCGCCCTGTTCTCGGCGATATGATGTGAAAACAAGACTAATCTACGACTCATATGGGAGGGAAGATGGAAAGGCGGAGGAGGGGTTCTCCTCGGTAGATTGACTTTCTTTGCAATGTTTTACCACTTTTGAGGAGCAGGAGGTGCCCACGTTAGGTCTGTTCCAACAGAGTAAACAGGGGTATAAGTGAAAGCAATAGGTAGGGTTATTCGCAAACGGTCAGGTATGTACTCGATACGCTACACCTGCGAGTTGTGAAACTGATGCAGAACAGGTGCCGCCCGCTGTGCCCCCCCTCGGCCCCCTCCCGAGCAGGAGGAAGTCCATACACAAACTTGTCAGCGGCAGTGCAGTGCGGGCGGGGCTCGCTTTTATATTGTTAAGCGGGGACGCCGCTTTTGTCCGCCGCTCTGGCAATGTTTTGTCCCGCCGAGGCAAGGCCGGGCCCGGAACCCGGTCCGGCCACTTCCTCTACCCTTCTCCCCCCCCCCTCCCCTCTCCGCTTCCCTGTTCCTTCTCATCCCCATTCAATTTGCAATTCAGGTAAACGGGCGAACGCGCAGCCCGGCCGGCCAAAGAAAACAAGGGAAGACCCTGGGCCAATTCGCGCCTCGTGGTGGAGTGGGACGGGCGCCGGGCACGCTCGCCCCAACAGGTAGGTGAGCCGAGGTCCAAGCCGATTTTTGAACGCATACTTTTTCTTTTATTTTCCTCATTTCTATCGTATGTATCACAAAATGTAATATTTTGAGTCGCGCGCATATTTTTCTTTGTCGAGTATGCCACGCGGCGCAAAACATTTGCACACAAAGATTCACTCACCGACTCATCACACTAAACACGAGTTACTCACAGCAAGGATGATATTGACACAATTAAATAAAGGGCTTAACTTAAGATCGACGTACACATACATATCTCACAGGTTTTCGATTTACATTTGACACAATTATACAAAGTAAAGTTAAAAATAAGACGTACATAAAAACAAAGAAAAACAAGAACAAAAACAAAATAATAACATTGCACTTGGGTGGTTATTGCTCTACAGCATCTTGGCTCGGCTGAAAAGACAAAACGAACTCTTCGTTTGGAGGCTTTTCGGAAGCGGTGGTCCGTGGATGTCGACACGCGTGTTCCCTCCGACACTGTGTGTCTATGGCGTATAGAAACATTTTGAAACAATTTCTAGTAATGGCAGGGCGATATCACGCGCCCAATGGCCGGTACTGCGGCTGGACGTGACGCAGCGCTGGAGGCCACATCGTGTGCTCCACTCACAAACATTTTCTCGACAGTTTTTCGTGTATGCCCGTTTCGGACTCACTTTCTTCAGCTTCTACCAACGTGCAGCAGAGTCAGAGTGATAATGGCCACGGAGACTAGAGAAGAATTATTTAGGGTTGGGACAGACGCCAACCTGACAAGATAAGGAGCGTCCCAGAACGGGGCGGGGACGACACCGACGGGGAGGCCGCCGCACGAGGCGGGGCAGCACAGTGGTGCACAAGTACGTCCGTCAGGCCGAGGCCACACGACGACGCGGGCCTCAGCAGTCGCCGCCCGCGGACCCCGCCGCCGCTGACGGACCGCATCAAATGGCCGAGACCTCCTCGCCGTCGAGCTTCTCCGACGAGTTGACCCGCGTCTGCCGGATGGAGCCCAGCGACGACCTGCAACACGGACACGGGGGGCTGCAGGCGCACTTCACGTCGCGCTCGGCGAAGCAGGAGGGGTACTTCAATCAAAACAAAAATAAAAATAACGTAAATCAGTGTACAAACAAAAATAAAAACACAAAAACAAAATAAATTAAAACAAGAAAAAAAATTACCAGCAAAGAATCCAAGAAATCAGGAAAAAACGAAAAGAAAAAAATCGGTGTGCACTTAGTAAAGCACCCCTCGGGGATCCCTGAATCACTAGTCCCTGCACTGACCTGGGCGTGTAGTCGCGGAGGTGCGTACACGAGCCGTTGTGCTTGTTGGCGCACAGGCCGACCGCCGAGCCCCGGGGCGGCGTGACCGCGGCGAACGAGAGCTTGTTGTTGGACTGGATGGACGCGGACGACGCCATCTTGGAAGGCGTGGGCCGCTTGCGGTCCAGGTAGGCGCCGGCGCGCGTCGACACGCTCTCGTAGCCGCCGCACCGGGCCGTCAGGATGCGGCGGAACGCGTACCGGAACTCCTTGTTGAAGATGGAGTAGATAACGGGGTTGAAGGCGGAGTTGGAGTAGCCGAGCCACGTGAGAACCTGCGGGCAATAGAGGACCAGGAGGTGCGCCTTAGTACGTGCAACGGCTCAGAAAGAAATTACTATCCGACTACCGAAGAAAAATGCCGCAATTTGTGCGTCCTACCCCAAGACACCCCACACCAACGTCCAGTTTCGAGCGCGGCGCGCCGGAGGAGAACGGTTGCGGGAAAGAGGGAGAGGGAGGGAGGGAGGGAGGGAG